TATATTTGTCCCTTTTCCTCTTCTCTTCCTTTTTTTTTTTTTGCCCCAATTCTCTTTATTCCTTTTTTTCTCTCTCCATCTTCCCAGATATATGTAGTAGAAATATAAAGAGATCTGCATATGTTACAGAGAAAAAAAAGATTATGTATTATATAAACGCTCATAAACAACCTGATATAATTAAGCCTTGTAAATTTTATGGTCTAATAGTAGCCAAAGATTGTTTACAGGCTACATTGAATACTCACCAAGGATGGCTCCATCTGAGATTTAGGGTCCTGTAGAAAATGAAGCAAACACCAGTGTGAACTTATGTTATTTCAAAAAACTGGTGAATAGTCAGATGTCTACTTTGATAAGAGCGAATTAAATAGGCGACAAAAATACAATGTCCCAAAGCATTTTAATGGCACTATATGAAACATGCTAACTTAGAGTAAGAAACTACACTCTGGTAATGTTACTGTCATCTAAAAGCTTTGTAAAACATAGGTTTTAAGTGGCATTTATTTATGTTGGGTAATTGGTTTACCATTTTTCTAAATACAGAATCATACATTTTTAAAATGACTGATGAAAATAAAGTGGTGAGTAGTTTAATAGTAGAAGAGAATAAGCTTTAGAAGTACGGTTTTCGGTTGTCCTGTTTTGAGAAATTAAGTTGTTTCATTATTTTATTTTTCTCTTTTCTGAGTAAACATGAATGTGGTACTTGCTGGATTGGTAACAGACATTTTTGAGGAAGACTGATCCAGATATCAGCATGTTATTATTTAATATGCAATAATGTTTCTTAGATTTTGGAAGACAATAATTCTGGAAGAGAATAATATGTCCTTGTGGATTAGCACCAGTTCTTTTTTCTTTAAGATTTTATTTATTTATTTTACAGAGAGAGAAAAAACAAGCAGGGGGAGCAGCAGAGGGAGAGGGAGAAGCAGGCTCCCCACTGAGCAGGGAGCCCGATGCTGGGCTTGATCCCAAGAACCTGGGATCACGACCTGAGCCGAAGACAGACGCTTAACCGACTGAGCCACCCAAGCGCCCCTCACCAGTTCTTTAGAATATTAAATTAATGTCGTAAGACTTTATCAAATATATAACATTATATGTTGCTTTTACGATTTGAAAAAAAATGCTACAAAAAGAATTTTTGTGACATCTTTGTATTTAGGCAAATGAGAAAAAAAAAGTCAAGGCTTATGATATATGACAAGTACTCCTTTGAATTCCAAAATATGTCTGGTCTTTTAAGATTTTTCAGTATTACTTCAAATAAGCATGTAGTAAGGTTAGAAAGTACTTGTTTTTCAACTGCAAGTCATCTCTTTTGTTACAGTACTGCTATAAACATATTAATAAATTATATTCATATGACTTTCCTTAAAAAAGAAATTGACATATCTTAAAAATTAACAAGAATGACATATTAAAATTAATGATTTCACAAATTAAATGTTGCTTAGTGGATAAAGGCAATTTTCAAATAAATTATATTCTTCAATAGCAGGTCTGTCTGGCCATTTGCAAAATGGACTTTACTGGGCTTAGTGTAATAAGTTGTTCTCTAGCATTTGTCTCCTCTTAACCAGTACATTTTCACTATATCCAACTGACATTGAATGGCCTAGACTTCTAGAATACCATGATGTGGGATATATATGCCCAAGCATATAATGAACACCCCACATAATATTCTGCTTTACCTTCAAGCCAGGGTGAATTCTTTCAACATTGGCACAGGGAACTCATGGCAGGAATCATGCAAACTTTTAAGGTAGTTAATGGGAAAGAGAGGAACTATAGAAAGCTCTGAGAAAGCCAGCATGTGGCCAAAACAACAGCAGGTATGGCCATATGGCAAATGAATTAGAAAAGGGATTTTGCCACACTGCCTTCCAGAAGATAGTCAAGCCCAGGCAGCTCTCATGAAGGGATGATTTACTCGGTACATTTTAATTGTTTCATATTGCCTCTTACACTGTTCAATTCCAAAGGGAATTTAAATCTATTATACCAAATAGATATTGAAGCGTTTTCTTAAAAAATAAAAAAAAAATAGTAACTTCTAAAGTAATTTCAGTTCCACATTTAAAGATCACTGTGCCAAAAGCATGTTTATTTCCAACTAAGCATTTGCTGAAACTGTTTTCAAAAAAGTAAAGCTTTGTAAGGCTAAAATTTAATAACATTATTTTATTTTAAGGTGAGATTATTTAACATTTTAAAATCCCCTACCTAGTCTAAGGTACTCTGTAATAATATAATTTAAATTATTTGTATAAGAAGCACTTAACCTGTAGAAAACATTTTTCAGAAGAAGCACATTTTCCTTTAAAAAGATTTGCTGAAAATGTGTTTTACTTCTCAGATTACCTCTTAAAAACTTGTTTGACCTACAAAGGAACAGGGGCTATACTAGGAACAGTCATTTTAAAATTTATTATTAGTATTCTATCATGTTATAATTTCAGCAGAATTCTTGGAGTGTGTGTGTGTGTGTGTTTGCATGCACATGCATGTGTGTTTAATCTAGTAAAATGTCATGCTTTGTCTTTTATTGTTCTTATCTTGAGGGAAAATACTGTCTTTGTTGAGAACAAGAGAGACTCACGAACATTCCCCTGCTCTGGTCTTCCCCCCTCCGCACATACACACACCTTTATTAGGATAATAACAAGCTAGCCTATGGTCAGCATGAAGATAATGTTCATATTTCAAACTTGAATTTTCTAATTTGTTTCTGCTTATTGGCAGCACCATACTTTTATTATCCATGACCACATTTTTAGAACAACAGACCAATGAGAAGATAACTACTCAAACTAGTAGCTAATAGTTTAAGTATGGATTTCTCCCCTAATAACACTTTTTCAAATAGGATTATTATGTATATCTTGAATAAAATCATCTATGTAAAAAATGTGAACTTATAATCAGTTTCTTTTTGGAGTACAAATATTATATTTCTATTGAAATTAGTTTACGTATACTTAGGAGAAGAAAGTCAGATTTTGTTGTTTTAAAATTGTTTTTTTTTCAGGATATATGGTTATTTTTGTTTTTCCTAAGAATCTAGATTTTAACCTTTTTTAAAAAAATTAAGTTACAGAAAAGAAAAAGAAAAACAATAAACATCACTGCCTCTATCACTCACATGTTAAGCTATTGCATTTTGGCATGTTCCTTCCAGTAATTATTAAAATAAAACATATAGTTAAGCCCTTTCAATTTTAGTTTTAGTTTTAGTCCCTTTCAATTAAAAAAATTACATATATGTATCTATCAATAATATGAGTATTATTTTAAATACACAGCTTGAACAGCTATGAATGCTGACCCCCATGCAGTCCAAAAATCTCCATTTAACTTTGGATCCCCAGCCAAAACTTAACTACTAATAGCTTACCATTGATCAGACAGAAGCATAACCAATAATATCAAAGGTTGATTAGCATATATTTTGTATGTTATATATAATATATACTGTGTCCTTACACTAAAATAAGCTAGAGAAAACAAAATATTATTAGGAAAATCCGGGTCACCTGAGTGGCTCAGTCTGTGAAGCGTCTGCCTTTGGCTCAGGTGGTGATCCCGGGGTCCTGGGATAGAGCCTTGTGTCGTTGGGCTCCTTGCTCAGTGGGGAGCCTGCTTCTCACTCTCCCTCTGCCCACTTCCTCATGCTCTCTCTCTCTCTCTCTCTCACTCTTCTCTCTCTCTCAAATAAGTAAATCAAATCTTTAAAAAAAAAGAAAAGAAAAAATCCTAAGGAAGAGAAAATACACTTACCGTACTGTACTGTACTTATTGGGAAAAAACCCACATATAAGTGGACCCATACCGTTCAAACCCATGTGGTTCAAAGGTAAAGGGCATAGATGCTTCATGTTACTTTTTCACTAACTTTGTTATCATGATCTATCCTATTGACATATAAAAATCCACCTCCTCCCTTTTAACTGTTTTACAACATTTCATCATATGAAGACATTTTATTGACCCATTCCTCTACTGATGGACATTGATAAGTTCCTTTCTTCATAGCGTCTCTGGTATTCCATTCATTCTGAGGTTTAAGTAACATTTTCATGATAATCAAGAGGTATTTACACACTTTGGATTCACAGTTTTAGGCCACTTAGCAAAACCACTCTTGACGATTTTCCACTGGAGATGTTTTCTTTTTACTTATGCCTCAAATATAGCAAAATGGCAAATAATTCAAGATATGAGTTTTAACATCAAATGTGATTTGTTCAAAATTTACATTAATCTTGCTCATAACTAGTCACTTCCATTTTGTCTTCCTGTCATCCTGAAGAATAAAAATGTAATTTCCCAGAGGCTTTAAGAATTGGGGGAGTATTAAATGTAACTGAAATTAAGTGATTAATAATTTACTTTTGGGTCATGAATCAACTTCACGGGATGCTCAGGATCATTTGCAACCCTGGAAGCACTGGGAGTAACAATGCACTTTGTAAGACTCAAGAACTCTCAAAGGTTGGCTGCCCAACCTAATTAAACTTCAATCTTCTGATACCAAATTTATTTCTTCTTTGTACTGAATTTCCTCAGATCTTCTTGACAGGAAAATGTCACTTTGCCTGACAGCTGATAGACAGGTTATGTAGCACATATAATTGGAGAGAAAAGGATAGCTTAAAGCTACTCGATTTAATGGCTGTGTGTATGGCTTTTTCTCTCTTTTCCTTTTTTTTTCCCTAAGGTTTCTATGACAGACACAAAAGGCCTTGGCAAATAGGCCTAGTGCCATTTTTTCCCTGCTTCCTCCAAGGGTAATTATCTTACTCCATCAATAGTGCTGTCAGAAATTGGGCACATAATTCAGCATTTAAATGAACAAGCAATGTAATATTTCCTGTCTCCCAGTGGAATGCTTTGCAGTTCACATTCTTCTCTGTCACTCGTTCACTCTTGATGTATGTCCCACAGCCAGTCCTTGAATGCTTTCTCTCCCTTGTGTCTCATTGCAGATGTTGGCTCCGACTTGATACCTACTTCATTTGGAGCTTTATAGGACCAGCGACCTTGATAATTATGGTAAGAACTCCTCATTAACTATGTGTTTCCCAGGTCAAGAACTAAAACTTCCACCATCCTTGCATTGACTACCTTTGATTCACATAGATTATTTTGGGCAAGGCATCTACTTATCTGACCCTATATAACTCAAGCAATGAGACACTCATACTTTTATATTGTAAAATACTTAATCAAAAATGTTGCCGAAGAAAACAGCCCGATCTCACAAAAGCCATTTGGTTCTGTACGTTTTTAAACAGTGATGATTTCAAGTTTCACAGCAATATATTTCCTTTCTTTTTCATTTGGATAATTTGAATTATGAATGGAATCGGAAATTGGAAATGCGGCACTATACCTTACTATTCCTTCCAGTTTTGTTTTTTATAAACATCTCAAAAACTTTAAAATCCAAAAGCATTTCACTTGAGAATGGCACAAATTAGTTAAGCAAACATTCTGGAACCATACTTCCTTTTGTATTTTTAGATGCATAATGTCTTGATTATTTCACATATGAATTACTTATCCTAATTTTGGTATTATTATTTATGTACTCATCGCTTTATAATACAAAATTGTTCTCCATTTTTTAAAATAAAATGGCCTCTTGATTTTGAATAAGATATAGATCTACAATTCACTATCTGAAATCCCTTGAAGCAGGTATATTTTAGAATTCAGAAAGTTTTCAGACTTTAGAAAGATAATATGGTACATGTATTGCATATTATATAATATTCCTTGTAGAGAATAAGCAGTTGCCCCAAATCAAACACATCAGCCAATACTCACAGTAGGGACTGGGCAGGACTCTGAAACCAAACACAGTAATAATTCAACAGAAAAAAAAAATTGGAAAAGTAGCAGCAAGTGGAATAAAGACAGAAGAGCCTTATGTCGGTACAAATCAGGTTTTCCCACCAAATGGGTTTAGTTAAGGTCAGACTTTGGCCACTCAACTGATTTTTTACACTTTTCAAACTTTTTGGACTTGATAAAGGATTTTAGAACTGTATTATTGAGAGAACTTCAGTAGGGCTTATAATTGGATTTCCCTAGTCCCTACCAATCCTAAATTTTGGAACATATAAACAAGCCACATCACAAAGGGCAATTCAATATGTGGTTTTTCTATACAATTTACATATATGTGATATATAGAATTCACCCTGGAACTTTTTGTTTTAAGTCCTGTGCTCTCTCTGCTTCCACTGACAAGACAGTATCACTGGGGGTTTCCGGGACTTTAATCCTAGTTTGATGTAGCATTAGAATTAACCACCATTTTATAATCCTTTTGATCTAGCTCTTCAAAAATGTATTGATTTTAGTATTTATGATTTTGTAATGCAGCATTTCAAAATATATCCCTAAACAACAAATTCGGGGCTTTGTTCAGATGGTAGAAAGAGTAACACACCTGTATATATATTTTTTAAACATATACTTGGCTTTGACTTGCTTTACAATTTCCACAGCATCATTCCAACTGCTGCTGATTTTGTATTTGTTCATATTTTGGCATAATAGTGCTTTGTAACTCGTTGGTATCCCAATTCCCTAAAGTAGCTTCTTGCCTTTACTAATATACTAGGCAATCATCTATGATCAAGTTCCTTTATAAGTATAGCGAGATCTAATTTCCCAGAACAACTCACCTGTTATGGAGAATAGACTTCCTTTTTTTCTTATATTCCAGTTATGCTACATAACAGTACTTTTTACATTCCAGCTTAATGTAATCTTCCTTGGGATTGCTCTATATAAAATGTTTCATCATACTGCCATTCTGAAACCTGAATCGGGCTGCCTTGATAATATCAAGTAAGTGATTTTTCTTTTTTGTTCTCTTTAGCCAACCTAATTTTGGTACCCTAAATTATCCCGACCTTTAATTCTACTGAAATCTTGTGACAAAATGAAGAGGATCAATGTGTTGTCTTTGCTGAAAAGATCACCTGTTGACTGTTGAGATGACTTGATCTTCATTCAGTAGAATGAAGCTGTCTTCAAAAAAACGTTTTCCCCTACACTCTGATTTGCAGCATGATAAGTTTTTAATATGTACATTTATGTATTTTGTCCTGAAAGCAAATACAAAGTATCTGTATCTGGGCAGACTGTTGTTTCTTGGAGCAACAACCATATCTGTTCCAACACTCCATCTCCCCCTCAGGAGCACTGTGAAGAGAGTCAGACGGTGGCACCTGCAAGTACTAAAGGGAGATTTTCCACCACAGGAGAGGAACCCCCAAGATTATTGATCTGGGCATTTTTATAGCTGCCCTCCTCTCCTTCTGAGAGAGGGAGAGAAAGCACAACTCCCTGATGTAAAATCCTATGGTGTATAAATACAGGGCTCCGGGCTTCGGCCCCCTTTGAAATGTTAACGTTTCCCTCCTGGGAGGTAAATCACTCCAAAAGTCTCTTGCTATCTATGCAGCCATCTTTCAACTTCCAAGGTTTGTCCTTTAACCCAAATTCTGTTTTTCTATGCTCAGAGAGCCCTTGCCATGCAGAGATATGAAAATATTCACATTCATTTCCACACTAGTAGCACTTTTGTATATACACAAAAAGAAGCTAATTTACATTTTCTGAAAAGAAAAATAGCTCCTCAGTATAACCAAAACTGTTATCTTGTTCCTTCAGAGGCCGTGACATTTGAGAAAGATAGTAATGTGGAGATGTACGTTAGTCATTAGCATATTATATATTAAATTGCAATTTGTATATAATTTGCCTATGCTATGTATTCACTTGGCTAAATGTTTTTATTTCAGTGAATGTACTTTCAGCAGTTTCATGAGGTCACCTGTGACTTTTCTTTTTTTTTTTTTTAAAGATTTTATTTATTTATTTGAGACAGAATGAGAGAGAGAGAGAGCACATGAGAGGGGGGAGGGTCAGAGGGAGAAGCAGGCTCCCTGCCGAGCAGGGAGCCCGATGCGGGACTCGATCCCGGGACTCCAGGATCATGACCTGAGCCGAAGGCAGTCGCCTAACCGACTGAGCCACCCAGGCGCCCCACCTTTGACTTTTCTTGAACTACCTCAGATAGCAGCTGTGTCACTCATTTTCCATCTTTCTACCTTTAGTTCCTGACATGGTTCCTTGCCCATAGTAGGCCCTTAATGAATGTTTATAGGATAAAGCAATAAATTAAAGACGTTAGTGACAAAAGTGTCTTGACATGAAGCACTTAATTTTGTTGAAGGAACCACCTGTCTAACTTAATTGAAAAGGGTAGCTAAGAAATTAGAGAAAATAATGTAATGTAGCAAACTAGGAATTATCTACTATGAGTAGTAGGCTTTTGTAGTTCTTAATGTTACTTAGTTGAGGTAATAGTCATTATTTTGTTGAATTGTGTACAATTAAACTGCCCTTCTAAACTGTAGTAATTAGTTCCTTGTACCATCTTCTCCTGATGAAATTGAATTTGCATAAATAAATAAACAGGCGTATAAAATATGTTTTCTCTGTCACATCATACTTTTGCTCCCCTTAGTGTAAATTACAACATCTTTGTATCTATTATTTTATAGTATAAAGCAAAGTGCAAGTAATGCTTTATTACCATTTATGTTAGGTTTTTAATGTACTATCAGAAGTAAATACTTTGATATTTAGTAACAGCTTTTATAATGTTAAGAATCAGGGGGAAAAGTTCTTGTACTTAGTACAGTCACATATTTTAAAAGATCAATTTGTTCTGTATTTATTCATGTATATTTCTTTAAGTGATATGGGTTGAATCTTTATGATGTTATAGTTTAAAAAAACAAACACATAAAAGGCAATAATTCATGTAATGACATTGATGGCATTAAGCTTTACATTACAAAGTAAAGAGAATATCTTGATTTAAATTCTGTCCAAACTGTTTTATAGTTTATATAGCCTTTGGGAAGTTTATTTAAACTTGCTGAGCCTTCCTGTCATCTTTAAAATGGGTATAATAATGGGGCACCTGACTGGCTAAGTCAGTAGAACATGTGACTCTTGATCTTGGGGTGGTGAGGGAGAAGCAGTAATAGAATGGTTAGAAGCATGGGAAAGGGAATGATTGTTATAACTGTGACCTGAGGAATTGTAGGGTAGAGATTGTAGATGTCCAGAACAGTGGTCAAGCGTTCCACTCTGTTAGATTCCATGAAGGATACTTTTCTACCAAGGTAAGAGAAGCTGGGAAGGAGGATTCTTTTCCACTGAGACTGGTGGAAATAAATAATAGGTGTGATGTAGATTATGTTGGAGGAACTGGGGCAGGGCAGTAAATTGAGGAATTTTTGCCTGCTCTCCTCTATGAAGTAGGAAAGGTGGCCATCTGCAGGATATAGGGACATGTTGAAGAGAGAAAATAAGAAAGAAATCTCAAGAAAATACTCCTTAAAACTTTGCAGACTCTGAAGGACATTTCATTTATTGAAAACATATTAACATATTAACCATTTAAGAAGTACGTGTAAAGAAATCAGCAGAGCATAATTGATTAGGAAAGAATTTAAGAAAGGTAATAATTTTGAACATTAGGGAGAACACAAAATTTGGCATCCTTTTTATTTAAAAAAATAAGGATCTTTGTAAAATGTATTTTTAAATGTTATGGGTGGTATGAGAGTATTTATTTTGGAAACATAAGCATCATTTATCTGGAAAGGGCATAAAAGTTAATGTCTTCCTGTTTTTGTTTTTTGTATTTTTGTAAAATGCTGAATAAGATGGGCTACCTTGCTCAATTTATTGAGAAAAAACCCACCACATAAGGACTTTTGGAAGTCAATGTCTTTCTTAAAACCATTCATTCATTTATCAAATATTTACTGTCTTTATTATATGTATTCTTTCACACATAGATCTGTCCTTTATCTAAAATGTGTTTCCTTCTCCCCATATTCACTGCCACCATTTTTTTAAGCCACCATCAACTTCTGCAGAAACACTGCAGTGGTCTTGTAACTTCTTTTCCCATATTGATTCTTGCCCCTACCTTCATTAGCCAGAGTGATCTCTTGAAAAGCGTAAATCCCATCATGCAATTGCCTTGGGTAAAACTCTTCAGTGGCTTCTTGTTACTCTCACACAGTAGTCCAGACTACCCTGACCCACTAAGCCTTCCTGTTCTAGTTGCTCCTTTCTTTCCTTAGCCTCTTGTTAAGCCATTTGCCCCTTTGGCCATTCTAGATGGGCTCCCTTTTGCTTCAGGTTTTATTGTTCCTGTTTCTCTACTGACTTTATTTTCCCTAATACAATGCCTGTCTGACTACCCTAATTAATTTAATTATTATTTTAAAAAATAATTTAATTATGTTTTAAATCAAAATTTACTTCACGGGGGCGCCTGGGTGGCCCAGATGGTTAAGCCTCTGCCTTCGGCTCAGGTCATGATCCCAGGGTCCTGGGATCGAGCCCCACATCGGGCTCCTGGCTTAGTGGGGAGTCTGCTTCTCCCTCTGCCTCTGCCTCTCCCCCTGCTCATGCTCTTTCACTCTGTATCTCTGTGTCTCAAATGAATAAATAAAATCTTAAAAAACAAACAAACAGAATTTACTTCACGGTCATTAAAATAAACACGTGTGTGTGTGTGTGTGTGTGTGTGTTAGTTTAGAGCTTTCATTTTGCTGGCTCATTACTATATTACTGATATATTCCAGAACAAATAATAATAGAGTGAATTAGTGTAGGTAACATGATTACCAAGGAAATGAGGTATGCCAATTCTCAGATTCCCAAAAACGTAATCAAAATTTAAAAATACATTTCTATTTGATCTTTGCTTACTTGTCTTTGTCTCTTTTTCATCAAAATGAGTAATTATATTTGGGGGGAAAAAGTAATTCCACTCATTTGAATTTTCTGGTTGAGTTTCTGACAAGTTGAAATTAGAGCTTACAGTAATCATAGCAAAAATAGAAACTAATTTTAAATATATACATATATGTGTAAATAGGAATAAAACAGTTATTGAATCAAATTATATTATTGCTGAAGTATTATGACATGTAAAACCTTAATTCTTGAGGAGCATTTAGAGCACTCTTAACTTTTAACTTCAAAATAAAAATGTATTGCTTGCATAGTTATCAACTATTTCTTCTATTACTGGTTTAATAACATCACAGGTACTTTAAAGAATGAAAAGTAATGGTAGAGGTTTTTAGGGCTAAGAAAGAAAATTGGTACCTGTATGGAGTGACAGGGAGTCTACTTAGGCTTCCCTTCTCTGTGTCTGTCCCTTAGCTCCTTTCCCATGTACAGAATTCTGCATCTGGACTTCTCATTTTGGCTTAGACATGTTTTCTGATTTCTGGTCTCTCCTCTTCACCTAGGTTTGGCTTGAGTGATGGGATGGCATACATATTGTCAGGTGGTTTAAAGAAATAGTTTCACTTTGCTTCCTTCTTCCCAGTTCTCTAATTACTAAAGGAAAGAACAGTAGTAGAGGGGAGTAATGATTCAGCGTCAGACACTTGGGTTTGAATTCCTATCGATCTAATCATTGTTACATTACCTTGCAGGTTTCATCATGGCTCTCAGTCTCAGTATCTCCTCGGAATTGGGGATAATTGTATCTACTTTGTAGAGTTTTGAGATAATTAAATATATGCGTAATGCATACATCACATAATTTGTGCCCATACAAGATGGTTTGATTATTTTGAATACTATGTGAAAAAATACTGCTGCCTTTAGTTCTTTGTGCTTTCCATGGTGAAATTTGCTCAATCTCATATTAAAATCCCATTAGAATTTGACTGGCTTTGTTTACCATGTGGTGTCATTAAGAATGTGTATAAATATATATATATATATATATATAT